GGGAGATTGACCTCTGAGTGCACTTGGATATCATACTGACTGAGAAAAAATATATACATATATTATATGTTAGGATACCCAAATACATGTGTTCAAATATTTAACTTTTCTGCTATGGGTTGGAAGTGGGAGCTCATGAGCAAATGAAGATCAATATTTAAAAAATTAATAACATTACATTTTATTCATGTTAGGCCTATACATTTTAGCCTTGCTTTTACAGAAATGCATGACCTCGTGCTGAACTGATAATATTCATCTCTTTCTTTGTTGTTTACCTTTCTAATAGTCAGCTTAGTTTTGAAACTCACTATATCTATCCATCCCTCCTTTAAAGGCGCCTATAAAGAAATCCTATACTTCTTTTCTTTCAAGGAAAAAAAATCAAACAAACTGGGTAGATGTTCTTGAAAAAGAAAGCACTGAAATAAAAACTAAAAACTGAGATTGTGATTGTGCACTTTTATCCAAAGACATAATGAAGACTTAATTACTAACTCAGAAATAGGATCCAGTCTATTCAGAATTTCTCAAGGGGTAATTTTGTAGGCTGGGATATTTACTCTTCCTCGTCCGCTCCCTGTGCTATTCAGAATGTGTGCTGGCTTTGTTTCTTAATATATTTACAAGGGAGGCGACAGGAAAGCTAAGATTATAATCCCGTGAACTACTTTTACCAGTTTTCCTACCAGATGTTGGTTCTGACAACATGAATGTGCTCTGGTCTCTAAATAGCCACTCAGTGCCCAAGTGCCAGTCTCTAGGGGACATCACTGACATGCAACTTAATAGACCCCCAAAGAAATGTATCCCCTTTTCTTTCAAAGCCATCAATACACTTGGGAATTTTCTCTCCGTGTTTGGTAAAGAGAAGGTATTGGTTGATTTGAGAAATAGAAGATGGGGGAAAAACACACAAAGAAACAGCTGCTTTGGGCTTTAAGAAAAAGAAAGCTTGACTCCAGTGACTTGAATAAACAAGGATTATTTTTTTTTTCACATATAAAGGAGTGAAGGTGATTTCTGACTCCAGTTACTACTCGAGCTTGAATTTTCTTGACTGCACAGCTCCAGGCACGGTGTCTGCATTGGAAAAAGGACAGTGTAGGGGCAGGGTGACAGCTGAATCAGGAAATAAAAGCTTTCTCAAGACACCATAGCTGACCGCTGCTTATCTCTCAGTGGCCAGCACTGTGTCACATGGCTACTCCTGACTATGGCACAGAAAAATTACCTCTCTGGCAGCTAAGCTACGAGGGTGGTCTTAGGATTGATATACAAGTCACAACTAGCAAAACAGGCTTTACTATTACTCACAAAACAGATACACTTTTCCAAATGAGGCAAGAACACCACCTACTTAAACTCAAAGTATTTCAACAGCAGTTTCTTCATTCCATATGTCCTTGTAAGAATCACAGACAAGGCATCAAGCAGTAACTCCTCATAGATCCTCACGTTCCTAGGCTGCAGCAGCTCTCTTCCTTTACAGATTCTGACCAACACCTGCCAGGGCCCTCCCAGGACTTACTCCAGCCGCCCACCCGCTTCTCTTCCTCTCTTCCCCTCCTCCACCCTCCCTTCCCTTCTCCCCTCACTTCCTTTGAAATGCCCCATGATCTTGTTGTAGTTCTCTCTGGCAGGAGCAAGTGAATAAAGCTAACTTTAGTTGTAAGGGTGTTTCTGCAGGGATTTGGCTCATATTTCACACCTGAAAAGAGGTTAGAGAAAAGTGGGTTGAGAATAGGAACTATAAAGGGTGTCTAAAGATGTTTGCCATAAGGAATCAACAATGTAAGGGTGCTAGGAGCTGATTAAAGATGATAATTATGCAAGGAGGAACAAAGAGGTTATGTGCTGGATAGCTTTCTAATTTCAGAGAGTGTTCTAGCAACCCAGGATGTGCCAGAGGCCCTCCTCCCTAAGAGCAGGGTATCAATGAAAGGGTAGCGCTGGAGGCCTTTGTTGTTGGAAGATGTTTCCTGCCCTCTATTCACCTCTTGCCCTTTCAGGTCTATGGCTTTTTAGGAAATAAAAGCTGAAGAAACCAGAGGCCCTCACTCAATAGGTCAGCACGGCCATTTTATCAGTCTGCTGATATATGCTTGTTACATACTTATATCCAGGTGCCTTCTTGACAATTCAACCCAAACGTCCAATAGACATCTCAACTCCTGCTCACCACTGAATTCATGATTTCCCCCCACCCCCCGCCCACACCAATCTCTACCATTAGCCTTCCCATCTAAGGAGATGGTAACGCCTTCCTTCCAGTTGCTTTTACCAAACCATTTCCTCTTTTCTTCTCATGCTCCACATCTAATCCATCAAGAAACATTACTAAATATATTCAGAATTGGCCACATCTCAGTACCTCTTGTGCCAACACCCTGGTCTGAGGCCACCAGACTCTCTCATTTGGATTATGATATATAATAGCTCCTTGTTTCTACATTTTACAGGAAACAAGGCAGGTGTAAATCCACACACAAAGTAAGAAAAATAAGTTGAAATCATAAGGCATTCCAAGACACACAACAAAACTCCCTTAGTGTCATCTTCCCCAAACTATTTCCCTAAGTTCTACTCATCAAATCATTGCAGCTGCTCCTATTATCTCCAAACATTTTATAAAAATCACATTGGTGGAAGCGTTCATGTTTTTTCACCCTATGTTCTCATTTATCCCCCCACCCCCAAATAGCTTTCAAATCATCAAACCAAAGTTTGAAGGGAGAAAAGGAAGACAGAGCCAATGCAGGCTTACTTAGGGAGTATTTAGGTAGTTTGAAAATAAAATGGAAGAGATCAGGCAATTGCAAAATTTTAGTTAGTGAGGGTGGTGGTGGGGGAATGAACAAGAGGTGAGCTAAGGATGTGTCATTACAGTGTGACCTAGTGGGTCACCAATATACGAGTTTAGGTTAAACCCACTGGTCCTCTCACCTGGCAGGCACAGACTAAATCCTTAATGATCTCCTCAATAGTTCCAATAGGTGAATATAGTCTTGTGTCATATTTACAAAAATACAATACTTCATAGGTTAAGATTTTGACTTGAAGACATTTTAAGTACATAAAGGAATGTGGTATTCCACACATTGGTAGTTCATGTGCAGAAGTTATTGCCTTAAAAATGAGACAAGCAGAACATGGATTCCATAGTGATTTTAGGAAATTCGTGGGTTATCATACAACAGGACAGGGAAGACATTCCCTGTTTTGTTAGCTGCAGGACCCTTGACAACATGGACAGTGGACTGACCCTATTCCTACAGCTACCAAAAATTGAAATTTGCATTTCCCATACTACATCTTCACCAGGAAGGCCAAATTCCACTCTGTTCATTTACCGAAATCTCATTCATTCTTTTGAGGCCAATTTAACTGCCACTTTTTTCATGGGAGTAATCTATTAAAATTTCAGTATCTTAATTTCAGTAGCAAACAATTTAACTATAATGCTCAGGAAACATGCTGTTTGGAGTGAAACAGCAATATTGCCATAAAACCTAGCCTGTTTACAAAAGCTGAAAGAACTAGCTTGGTTATTACTGACAGAAATTATTATATTATTAAAGCTACTGGCATGGAAAATGGACAAGGTAGTAAAATGTCTCCATATGGTGTATAACTATTACTCCGAAGAAAAATCTTCCTGTATGGAAAACAATTACTAAAATTTACAGATAAACATCTAATACCAGAACATATGGTTGTTAAACTTCATCTCTCAGTTTTTCTGGTTATTGCTACCATTTGCTTTAGGCAGAAATAACAGTTATTACACTATATTGATGGTTCAAAATTATGAGTATATTTCTATTAAAACTGTTCATTGTTCTGTTTAAATATAAACTGTTTAGTCTGCCATTGTGAGTATTTGCAAGTATGTAATAGAAATAAACACTGTGTACGTCAAATTTTATTACAAATATGTTAACACTGTATAACTAATTTATTTCATATGAATAGAATTCTATTTAGATTATATGGGAAAAACTTACTTTTTTATAAGTGACTATATATTTTTAAGATTAATCATATATCTTTGAATGACTTCTCCAAGGATATCTTCTTAAATTAAATGATATTATTAAGAGAGAAGGGGAGAGAGAAAGAGAGAGAGAGAGAGAGAGAGAGAGAGAGAGAGACATAGAACTTTCATCTTTTAAAATATAAAATTAATTACATTATTTTTCAGGATAAGATAACCCTCTAATTTAAAATTGTTTTTTAAAATCACCTAAATTCACCAGGTTAAAATCAGTACTTGTTTAGGTGTGATTTGTTTATGGGTAAAACATATGAAAATGAAATATTTTCATGCTGGAAGAAAAGGCAATTTTAGAAGCACATTAAGGTAGAGTATGTAATTCTGTCACAATATTTCCTACAAAAGAGGTATCTTTCCATTGTGTGAGAAGTCAACTCAGTTTTCCTAAAAAGCTCCTCCTGAGAGTTGCAAAAACTAATAAAGATTAGATTTTGCAATATTTTGGCACATGTATTTTATAAGCAAACTCAATTACATCAAACATTCTGCTTCTGTAAGCCCCCATACAGCACACCAACATTTTTTAATACTTCTTTTACTTCGAGGAGGCTTTAGCGGGGACAGTATGATAAGGATGAGTTGTGACCAAGACAAGGAGAGAAGGGCATCTCTGCTTGCGGGTATAGGGAGCAAAACTACAAATAAATGGAGCTCCTTTATATTTCAGCTGTTGATTGCAAAACCACTGACAGAATGCTCACACTCACGGAGCGAGGTTGATGGAGTAAGGTGACATTGCAGATTGTTCTATCATGTATATCCATGTCCTGATATAAAAGGCATTCTACAATCACACATACAGGACCACGGGCATGGCAAAAGGCTCTTCCTCCCTAACCCATCCGAGGGGTGGGTGGGAGAGTGAGTGTTTGTTTCATCCCACAACATAAACATGAATTTGAAGAGTCTGGACAATCAGAAGCAGGATGAAAAGACCCTTTACCTGTCTATGATGGCACACATGTCTATGCTGACGTTTGCAAAACTTCCTGGTTTCCTTTGTGCCACCTCATATAAATTTACAAGTTGATCATCCACTTGAATGAGCTGCATGCATCCTTGGAATGAAGGCTGAAGGACAGAGTGACTTGAGTTACTCATCTGGTTCCGAAAACCTGTGAGAGAGCAGAAGAAATGGAGAAGTTAAATCCATGTGAGCACGCTTCACTCGGTTTCCTCTGGTGATGCTCCCTGATCGCAGCCATTGCCTCCAACTCTTGCTTGGTTGGTCCTTGCTGGTGTTGTATTCAGTACAGAAGAATGAAGTATTGTGAGGAAGGGATATTATTTCAGGGAAAGACAAAAGGGTTGAATCTAAACGAATCTTTGTCTCTGGAGTCTAGCATTCCTTATTATTTTCTCCTTGACTTCTTCTTTCTCACTCTGTCACAGTTCGTTCTATGTCCCTCTGCTGTTAATAGCTCACTGCTGTACTTCCGCCCTTGACCCTATCTACAGAGATTAGAACATAAAATTTAGACCTTTCTTAACTATCCAAGTGCCTTCCTCTTAAAATTTCAATATTACATTCATTTCCTTAATTCTCTAGAGGCCTGTTATTCAGATGTTAAGAAGCTAAACTTATATTATCAATTAAGATGAATCTATTTTATGGATTAACTGGAGGCCTGGTGCATGACATTCATGCACTGAGGGGGTGGTGTGAGGGGAGTGAATGGTCCCTCAGCCTGGCCTGCGCCCTCTTACAGTCCAGCACCCCTCAGGAGATGTCCGCCTCCTGCGGAGGTGGGAGAGGCTCCCACCACTGCCACTGTGCTTGCTGTGAGCCTGGCTTCTGGCTGAGCAGTGCCCCCCCATGGTAGTGCACTGACCACTAGGGGGCAGCTCTTGCACTGAACGACCCTTTGTGGTCAGTGCACATCATAGTGACCAATCATTCAGCCATTTGGTCAATTTTCATATTACTCTTTTATTATATAGGATGTCTAATTCAATCCAAAGGTATATTTGCATTATAAATGATTTCTCATTTTATAAAATCCTAAGAAACATTACAAAGAATATATTTAGACTTAAGGATTAGCCACCCTGCTGGTGTGAGGGGAGTGAATGGTCCCTCAGCCTGGCCTGCGCCCTCTTACAGTCCAGCACCCCTCCGGAGATGTCCGCCTCCTGCGGAGGTGGGAGAGGCTCCCACCACTACCACTGTGCTTGCTGTGAGCCTGGCTTCTGGCTAAGCAGTGCTCCCCCATGGGAGTGCACTGACCTCCAGGGGGCAGCTCCTGCACTGAACGTCTGTCCCCTTGTGGTCAGTGAACATCATGGTGACCAATCATTCAGCCATTTGGTCAATTTTCATATTACTCTTTTATTATATAGGATGTCTAATTCAATCCAAAGGTATATTTGCATTATAAATGATTTCTCATTTTATAAAATCCTAAGAAACATTACAAAGAATATATTTAGACTTAAGGATTAGCCACCCTGCTCTGAATGTCTACACACACACACACACACACACACACGTGCCAAGTTTGAAATAAGATTAAAATTTTTATTATGAAACTAGAGGCCTGCTGCATGAAATTCATTCAAGAGTAGGCCTTCCCTCCTTTCCCCGCCAGCTGCAGGCACCAGCTTCCCTCTGGCACTGGGGACCTGGGCTGGCTTTCCTTGGGCCACCCACAGGCACCCAGAACCTCAGGCTGGATTCCCTCAGCCCTGGCTTTGTCCTGAAGGACATCCGGTCTAATTAGCATATTACCGTTTTATTATTACAGATAACTTTAAAATAGCATCATCAAACAATTACTATTATGACTTTTCAGTAGAGACATGCATAGGGAGTTAGGATGCATAGAAAATTAGTAGGCCACAGAAAATAATATATCTCAGAAAGTCCCCAAAAGCATTTCCTTTTCATATAGCTCCCCACATCAAATTGACCTACCAGAGCAAATTTAAATTGTGCTAATTTGCTTAAAAATCTGGTTATTCACACATTTATTTCAATCAAATAATATATGTACAGCAAAAAATAATTTCTACATAATGGATTAAGACCAATACCCGCCATTAATTTATTAAACATAAATTTTCAATAAAAACTCTTAAAAAATTGACCATTAAATTATTTTTTAAAGTGTCCTATTTTGTTTGACTGCTAATAGTAGTCAAGAACAATAGAAAACTCCTTCTCACTTTATTAATGGTTTATAATATTTAAAGTTTAATAATTATCATTTGAACCTCTTTAAGGGTTAATCACAGAGGTGGAGTATATCCTTTTCCATCAACAGAATTCTATGTAAAAATAGGATTTAACTTAAATGAATTCATTGACTTAAAAATTAATGTAAGACTCTATTTCAATGTCAAGCATATAGCTCATCTATATATTTTTTTCTAAGTCACATTTTTTTATTTGCATTTACTTAGTCCCCACTGACATTGCTGATCTTAGATAAGTCATCTATTTAGATGAGCTGTATGCATACACATGCTTTTAAATCTGTTCAATCAAAATAATATTGAAAGAAGTTAATGTCTACACTTAGCAGAAAGTAAACATCCAGCTGTAATGTTAATGACTATTCTTGACAAGACGATCATTTGGTTCTGTTGTTGAATACTAGGAAGTCTCTAAATATCCATAGTGGCTTAGAAATATTCCAAAATGAGTAGATCTATTTGGGAGAACATGACCTTTTCTGATGCAAAGCAGCTACATAACACAGATTGCTGTGAATTGAATTGGGTATAATTAAGTTCATCAAACAAGACTTCATCAGTAACCCATAACAATGTTCTGTTTGGTCCTAAGGGATTTTTGAATTTGAAAGTGTCAAGTCCTTTCATTTTTCTACATGGGATACATTCTATTAGAAGACAATTATAGGGCATACTACTAAATTGCTATTAAACATTTAAGTTTTCCCCCCTCTCCTTGTATTATCTTTAACATTTCCAAGAGGGACTCCATTAATTCACACCATCTTATAGATCCCTTCAACATTAAATTAGGGCTGACCTCTGTAATCAGTAGAAAACTGTGGAAGTGGTGGCTTTGGAAAACTAGACTTCCAAGGTTAGTTTTCAACTTGATCTCTTAAGACTGCTAACCCTGAAAAACCAGCCATCATACTTGAGCAATCTTATGAGAGGCCCATAAGAGGTAAAAAATCATGAGTTTAAGCCACTACATTTGGAGTGATTTGTCATGTAATAATAACCAATAATGAATTTGGTACTGAGAGAGAATTGTAACATAAATCTAAAAATGTGGCAGTGACTTAGGGGCTGGGATGTCCAAATAAGTGGGATGGGCCTGGAAAGTACTGTTACTTGAAGCCTAAAGGCTTTAGAGTTTGTTGGAAATGGCTTGAAAGAAGGTGAGAAAAGATGTTATTGGAAATGAGAGAAAACCAGATCTTGTGTTGCTCCAATGGGAAGTTTAGCAACACTATGTTAATATGGAAAGAAAGAAGGTATACTTGAGATATTTGTAATTGAGCTAATGGCATTTTCAGACAGCGAATTCTGACATCTTTCAATTTATAGTAAAAGGGAAAAAAGAAGTGAGAAAAGCTAAAGAAAAACTGTTAAATACAAAGAAGCAGGACTTGATAGGGTTGAAGATAGTGCTTTCTCAACAGCAGTCACTTCAGTTGGCAACAATGCAAAAATGAATAAACCACATTCAGGCAAAGGTCAACTACCACTAAAACATAATCTAAAGTGGTAAACCTTAATAGCCTTTATAGAAAGGCTACTGATTTTTTAAGAGAACTGTACTGATGAAAACACCATAAGCTTGGACTGAAAGAACTAGAGATGGTACAAAATGAGAAAATGTCTTTAGATATAGGGATTCTAATAATCTTAAAGGCATCTTGCCCTTAGCATGTCAGCAGAAACCCAATGTAAAAATGAAACAAAAACTGTTTAATAGGGTAAACCTTAATAGCCTTTACAGAAAGGCTACTGTATTGGTGAAAACACCATAAGCTTGGACTGAAAGAACTAGAGATGGTACAAAATGAGAAAATGTCTT